GCTGTATTAATAACAGTCACAGTGGCTGTGACAAGTGTTTCCTCGTGGCAGTCTTCGCATCGTTTCGCGGTTTAATATAAAACCTCTATGTACTTTGTTATTGATTCTCTCGCCGAAATCACAGTCCATACATTTGCCATGTCCATATTTTCACTCATGAGTTCAACATTGTTAATAAGACGGTGAATAAAGTCAACAATGATCAAATCCTTGACGTATGTGTAGACCTTTCTTCAAGGGCACTCACCGAGCGTTCGCACGCTGTGTTCTTCTAGGGTCGCCGTACTAACGTACTTGAAGCGTAAAATTGGTTAGAGCCCGTGCACAATTCTTAAATTGGTATTTGATTTCATCACATAGTTTATTCATCGGAATATGTAGATGTTGACGCGATATAATAAACATTACGTGCATATTAACATTTTCTGAGAACACTACCGATAAATAATAAATTCTTTATCTCATTTCATCTCTGTGGTATGCATGGACGGGTGTGGAGGAAATTAAAATTTGTAATCGCGTTTAACATATCGAGATGATATTATCGTTATATTAAGACCGGTAGTTCTACGTACATATGTTCTGAACAAGTCAGAAGTATGCAAAAAAAATATATGACAAGAATGTATGATATTATATATGATTTCTCGGGGAATTGAATTGCGACGAATTGCATAGTATCCGTACGCGATACGGTCCATTGATTCAAACGTAGTGTATTCTACGGTACCAAAATAATGAAAGAACTTACTGAGCAACCACGAAATGTAAAATGTAAAAACTTTAATTAATGTCAGTTTCCTGAAGCGATGCATTTGACCTTATTGTTATTCGTTGCGATCAAATCGCTAAACTTATGTATGGCTTTCCATTAACAAAAAAGAAAAGTAATTCCATGTTATCAGTGTTTTGTGCGTAGTATATGCGAAGTACACTGTTTCTGTTTATCAGATATCTCGATATAGTACAATGATTACACGTTTCTACTTTAACGTGGCTTTGTTGGAAACAATTACACTGGGAATTAGTTTCAGGTATAAATTCAAGCAACGGTTGTACAGCGTTATCTCGATTATAAACGAAGATGGATTTTTTTAATGCGTATCGTGTATCACAAAAGACTTTGCGAAGTGGAACTTAACAGCCTGGTGATACTCGTGATCTGATATAGATAACCGGTTTTTTTATAATTAGAGTGTATGTGCGTGGCATTATCGCTTATGTTATGGTACCAAACACGCAATGTACGCCGCCACATCCAAATACGTAACTCGTATAACACAACGGGCCAGTCAACACGAGAATGCGCGATGAATGTGAACAACGCCCATATAGAACACGTATGCGTTTTCTGATTTTGAGGTATTTGTTGCAAATTCAAGTTCGTCATTTCCGTTCTAATTACATATATAAACAGCTAGTACTTCAAACACCGGGGTCAAATAGTTGTTATGAACACAAAGGGTTAAATATATGAAAGGATTATTACACATATACATTTTACACATTTACACAATGTTTTGTAATATGAATGTTTGCCTGTATCTTATCGAAGGAGGTGGAAAGGAGAAAATCTCTTTTCGGGGAGGGGGGGGGGATTGTATTTTATATGGAGGGGGTAACAAACAGAGAGAATTGTTACGAGAAATACAAAACACAAAAAGACATTAATCGAATTCCAAAAAAAATAGTTGCTGAGGGAAGGCCGAACATTCTGAGAGGTGACTAATATACAATTTTTGTTTCAATATGAAACGCGATAATACCAATTATTGGGTAATTACGCGGGTTATTTAGGGATTATAATGCGTATTCAAATGTGTTGAATAATCAGGCAGTCTCGTGGATGACCCAACAATAAAACATGTCCGGCCGCATTAAATATACGAACCATGAACCATGTTTTATGGTATCTATGGACAATTTGCATCTTTTCCTGCCATCATCTCACTTGTTATCACCACACTCGTTTCTTCACACAGTACAAATTCCTAATTTTCATCTATGGTGAATGTAATTCGAATATAACGTTTTAACTGACAATTGAAGAGGCAGACAGCTGGGATAATGCTGGAACCAAAAGACAGTTAAAATGTCGTCAACACTTTGAGGAAAGCAAAACCATGTCCTTACATGTTTCCGCAGTAGTGTTAATGAATATCTTAAAGACCACTCTTGAATGTAGAGGCATGTTAAGTATGCCGTTGACTGATTTATTTAGATGTGGGGCACGTTTACACGCCCGAGTATAGAAATTCCGAAATTCATATGACACCAGGCACCAAATTACTTGTAATTGATGAGAACATGTTTATTCGCGACAAGACATGATTTTCAACAATCATTACTGTTATGTGATAACACCCACTAGATGCAGGGTCAGATTTATTTAACTACTACTCGTCGATTCCAGTCTTAAAGGTTACGTTTGCATTTTTGGCTAGGAAGGTGGGTGGGGGTGGGATTACGTAGTATGTTGTGTGAATACATTTTATCATCTTGAGGTGACAGAGTCTCTAAAAACGTTTCCGGTACAACTATTAATGTATTACATGCTACTTTTTGAAGATTTTATAAATTACATTCGATGCCGAAAATGTGTTTTAGAATACTTGTATACACTGTGAATCGAGCATGTGGTACATTCGTTTCATCAAATGTGTGTATTTAAATAACCAATATTTAAAACTATGATACCAGGCCACAATATCAAAATATTAAAAATGATTTGTGCCTAAGTTGATAAACATTGAAATGAAAAGCTGAAGTAAATTGTCACTTTTTGTCCCCGAAGTAATACATTATTTAATCCCCATAATTGTGCATAGTCGATATTCAGCTTAGATCCAATGTTGAATGAAACATAAACAGTTACATAAATTTTGTAATAAATTACTATGTTGTTTGATATTCAGCAATTTCGTTTAGTCATAATATTGACAGAACGTGTGGTGTTGGCTTAAACCAATCAATATTTATTTCATATTATTCTTAATAAGATTCTACGCCATATAGTCCATGACAGTGTGCAATTAGGTACCAGCTATGGGAGCTAAATACGTATTGTATCATTGGAAAGGTCTTTGTATGTATTTGTCATGAGTGCGTGATAACCGGGTCAAATTATTGTAAATGTCATAGTATGATGCCCATTTGTAATTACATACTAATGAGATATTCGGCTCATTCAGTTAAAATACAGGGCCACCCATATTTTTCATAATTATAATTTCAAAAATATTTAATCAACCTAAATCCATAATGGCCTATAATTAAGATTAGAAGACATACATAATAATTTATGAAGTAGTTTGTAAATATACATCGATACAGAAAAACACACAACAGTGGATAACTTGTGAAATATGCAATAAATCTGATTCACCGATTTTCATACATTTTCCTTCGTATGCGACATCGCAAAAAACTGTTCCCTATATCTACGACGCAATACAACATACAGCAATATTAAGAAAGTTTGTACTTTAGACAAATCATCAACAAATAGTCTACTGCCCTAAACCATCTTTAGAGTCCTAGTACATTTGTCACCAATGCGCAAATCAGTACACGTGCACATGAGCGTTTCGGAATGTGTAACCATTGCTCTCATAAATCACATACTTAAATTGTGGTAGGTTTGCTGTATAGTCAATAGCTGTATAATGGTTAACTTATGAGTAGTCATGGTCTAACTCGAAAGATCATGTCAACTAGTGACATCGTGTTTGAGATGGCTCAATTGACTACGTGTCACATTTGGGATGGTTTTACGACAACTGCTATGATGTTGCACATGTGAAATAAATGTTCTTTTAAGTAGCATACGTCTTTAATCTGGTATTATACTGTTATGACGTACTTGTGCGTGGCATACATATAACATCCCATTTGTCTATCTTATCTATTGAAGCATACTCCCGTATTAAGCTGTCGTTTTGTATTCATGGGCACGCGTAATTCATTGGATGCAAATCACTCTTCATTGTACCTTTGTACCACTAGTAATACTTTACAAATACAATATAAAGGCTCAATTCATTGCAACATCAGGTATACTACTAATCGATGATCTTTAATTGGCCTGATTGTGTGCTGACTTATTTTGTCTCCAATTAAGGCATAGTATGAGTCTGTGTGTGATATATGTGTTAAGTGTGTGCTTATTTTGCTGAAAAACATAGGAATATCTGTCGGGAATGGAAAACATTGAAATCGACCATCAACGTCCAACCCGAGGCCAACCTGATTCACGTGATGCGCTTTTTTGTATGTGAGTCGGTAGTGAAAAGGGTTATATTGCTACGTCACTGCAGAGTTGTTTCTTTCCGAACTGTCGAGATCATCACTGGGTTCGTGATAGCTTGCTATATGTAATGATTCTCATCCCAGGGTTGTGTATGTGCAGTAATGTTTCGTCACACTGGAGCGTTTGGGTGAATCCAAAACGAGACACACATTTTACGTTGGGCGGGCGCCAGTCTTTTTGAGCGACCACGGCGCGACTATAAGGCGAGAAGATGATAGTAACAAACATTTCTATTCTAAATTTAAACTTTAAGATTGTAACCAGATGAGAACCCGTGTATTGAATGAGGGGAAGTTATTTTGACTTCGTGACACTGGTATGCCACGGACCGGAAAGAGGTTACCGTATTTCTCGAAATAGACTCTGTTTACAAACAATCCTTAAGCTTGTCGCTGAAATGTACATCTTGGTATTTTCATTCGCCAATGAATGGACCATGAATCACGCTTTACATCGAATACCCCGATATTCATTGAATAAACACGATAACAACCGTGCTGCCTATTCAGTTGCTTATTGTCCAATCAGTGGCCGGTTATTGGATGCCAAATGGACACCGCGTGCTCGGAATAATAATCGCGGTCGATATTAATCGGATCGAAATTGGAAGTGCGTATTATAAAAACAGTCGGCCCATCGATAGAATTGGATTCATTGACTAACTTCCAGTTACACACCAGCGTCGATCTATGCGGTATTTGACGTTAAAGACCACACCGGCAGCTTTAATGCAGGTAAGCGCGAAATACGAGAAAGACAACGTGTTTGTTCAAAACATGGACTGTGTCAGGGCGCATTCAGCAATGAAACGACGCATATCCACATTAGACCCCAACACACATACTTTGTTATACATTACTGTTCTAGCACTTTCTCTCTGTAGCGGGTATCGCCCTAAGCTGCCCGTGTAATCTGACGCACCGCAGCATATCTGTTTTCTAGCTAGAAATAAACAACGTGTTCGCGTGCTTGAAACACGTAGCGAGAAACCGATTGCAAACATTGTTTGCACTGTCTCGGCAGGCACTTGGTTACATACAAAAATAAGGGTCGTCTCAGTACTGTCTGCCGCACTAAAATCTAATCTAATGTTACCGCAACGGGTGTCACGGGTGTGTATATACATGGCCTCCATAATAGGTATATATATATATATATATATATATATATATATATATATATATATATATAGTTCATGCGATAAAATATACATTTTAATACAACATTTCCATCTTTAGCATTACTTGTATATACTCGAGTATGTGGTACACTGGTTTCATCAAATGTGTGAATTCAAATAACCAATATTTAAATTTATGATACCAGGCCAGCTACTCAATTAAATATATATATTTTGGTATTGTATAATTGTTATTGTATTTTCGATCAACCAGTTTTTGTCCACACAAGAAATGAAAAGTATCATTTAGCATTGGGGTTACATATACCCCTCGCCTACGTTGCGTATTGCGAAATCAAAACAAATTGCGAAAAGCCAAATGAATTTCGTACTGCTATGACCAGCTCTTCATTATGTGTAAACTTGCTCCGTATTATTTGTCTCCTTTTTTGTTAATATCTCACCAACTCTGCTGCCATTTTAACTTTCATTTTAACTTTTTTTTGTATTAACTTATCTTGAATTATATTTGGCGGGTTCCTCTTTTGGCTGTCGGAACCGCCGAACAATAAACACATGTCTACAAATAAAATTGGTGTGATGTGCTTCTTTTACATTATCGAATATTTTAATAAAACGTGCGTATTAATCTATGTATCTCATGGGTCCTGTAACTATATTAGTTCAGTAATATACACTTCCCGTGATCCTTAGAAAACACTGTATTCTTTAATTTGGCTACTTTACGTGGATGAAAATTAAATACAGTATTCAACACAATGTTCTCTAGAATCCAGTCGACGTCTTCGTGAGCAGCCTTTAATAAACACATTCGAATAAGAGTTAGTATCTTATATAGGATCACTGCAGTATGTAAATAATACAATATTTTCCAAAATAAACTAGCAGACGTGTGACAACGTAAATATTTACATGATGTATTAGATGGGCGCAGACGGTAAATTCATACACAAATTTATCCGATTTAATTTAAAATTATAAGCAAAACACATGAAATCAAAACCGCATATTAATACCTTCTGCTGCTTGATCGCTGTAAGAGGGTTCTTATCGCTTCAATTTGCCAGACGTCGTGAACTGTTGATCTTCGTTGCTATGCGACGTCTTAGTAACAATTTAACGTATTAAAAAACAATTATCGTCCTGCGTCGTGTTGTTGAGACATAGAGAGATTTAAAAATAAACAATACAGCTTTTTGAAACATTTTGATGCAAGAGGAAATGGTTTAGTTACCTGTCAGTTAAATTAGCGGATACCAGCAGAAGCAATATCCGTATGGTTTATTTGAGTGGTTAAGTCTCTTAGTTTTCTTTGTTCGATTTTTCTTTCGTTCACTCTGGATTCATCAGATCACACCTAGTACTCAACTTGTCAGATTGTGTTTCTGAGAATCACCGTGTTGCAATAGAGCGTACACATGGTTACAACGTTGATTGTAATTCACCGGGGCGATACAATAGTCAATAGAAAATGGTAGGAACAGAAACCTGAATGGCTCACTCATCGGGAAAATCACCTGAGGCTAAAAAACCCACATGATTACCATGAACTAAAATATATCTTTGCTCAATTATCTGCCATATTTTGGTAATCTAAAACAACAACAGCACCTGCCCACCGTTACTGTTGCAACAGCCGAAAACTGATTTTTCCTACCTTCGCGCAAAATGTGTCTCCTCCAACAAATCTTGAAATGAAACTCTCTACTTTGCTCAGTGTGTGCTCGAAGTTACTATTTGTGTTTTTGATTTTGTTTTCTTCGTTGCAAAGCAACCCCGTAACTTTCGTCAGAAACGGCGTTTTAACTTTTCTCTATTTTTTGGGCTGCCGCTGGTCGACTTTATTTAAAGTTGACAGGAAGGTCACATCTGCAATAAAGTGTAAGCAATTGGAAAAATCCAGCACTATCGTTGCCATGGCAACGCCCGAAAAAAACGAATTTGTGGCCAGACATATTTCGGACATATCCGAGTTTGTTCCCAATATTACTATTTTGTTCTCGAGTTGTGATCAGTGCTTCCACTGGGTCGACACTACACGTAACACCATATTTCCAAAAAACAACATTTTAACAAGGTTCATCAAGTTTTCAAACGTTTAAATCTATAAAACATTGAGTTTTACTGAGTCTTGGGATGAATGAAACGTTCAAGTTTGTTAAATTGTCAACTCTAACAAGCAGGTTCGTAAAGTAAATTTCAGAAGTTGGACTTTTGTAAGTATTGCTTGTGTCTGTTTGTATGTCTGTCTGTACCTATTAACTTTTATGTGATTGATTGACCTTATTTGATTGGCTGGTTTCACCTACACTCTAGTTAATAGACCAAGTTTACACAAACTCCTGCCTATTTTGCCATGGTAACGGCCATCAAAATAGTTGTTTCCCTTGAGTGGACCGCCAATCTAAGGAAAACTGATCTATATCATGTTAAAATGTATATTTCCAAAAGGTATTTGAAATTATAATAATATCTCTTTTTACTAATATTTAACATTGAGATAGAATCTTAACATTGGTCTGAACAATTACATTGATTGTCGGTCTGCGTTCAGCTGTCGTTGACAGTGACAATACACATCGTTAAATAATTTGCAGAAATCTTCATTGAAAAGGGAGTTTCCGACTTAATTGATACTTCCAATATGAATTAATGCATAACAATTAAATCATTGTATGTATTATATTTCCGTGAAGACGACAAATTCAGACAAGTGTTGAATAAAGTAGTCCGCTTCTCAGTGTGTACCGGGTGAACTCTTGGCGCATGAACATATGATTCGTCGTCGATTATCAAGTATTGCATCTGAAGGGCGTATCAATTGAAGAAAATGTCAACATTAAAGCAAAAATCAGTGAGTCAACTAAATGTTCGTAAAAGCCCTACAGGAAAAGTCGTTATTTAGCCTTGGTGTGCACTGTTTTGATTTATAATTAACAACATTCACGATACGTAATTACATGAGAATGAATAAAATACGATCTGTCCCGATGTACCGCTATGCTAAACTTTGGTCTTGCACGAGGGAATTAGATATGGCTACAAAATATATCGTGATATTTAGAAACTCGCGTGATAGCAGAATTGAAAATAAAAGAAATGCGCACGGAAAATATCCTGGAATAAAATTCCAACAGGGATCAAAAACAGAAAAAATAAAACGCTTGTCTAGATCTTAAGGAAAAAAAATCACATAGTGTAACAAATTACAGGTAAATTCGTAGTGGAATAAAAAATAAAACCACCAAAAGTGAAGAAAACAATATTTAGCACAGTTTTTCTACCCGTCGTCCCTCCTAGAGTTTCCAATGTAATGGCCCACCTCTAATGAAAAAAAAAATGAAAAATCTTTTCAAACGATAAAATCGGCAGAAAAGTCTCATCGCAACCTCTTGATTAAGACAACAACATTTGAATTATAAACATTTCAAAGCGACAAACCTTTTTTTTAAATACAGCTGCAGTAATATTTTATTTAAAAAGACCTACTCCATTGAAAACTGAGAATGTTCCATCGATCACTCTTTTACGGCAAGCAGTGAGCCAGGCCGTGAAGTTCTACAATGACGCAGAAGGAATGTCATTGCTCACGCAAATCAAATTAACTTATTATCATTATCCCTTTTATTCGTCTCGAGGGTCCTGTTTCAACACATTTATTAGCTCTTAAATCTAGTCTAGTTCTATCAGACTAGTGTCTAGAGACATTTCCGATTTTGTTTGCATTTGTGTAAGCTGTCGCTGACGTTCTTAATTAAAATTCAATTAACGCTTCTCCTGAAAACAAATGTACACACGCACGCATGGGTGTTCGGAGATCCTATTCAATCAATTGGTCGATTCGACCTTTGTCGAGCACGGGGTTACCGATTTTTTTTTCGAATGCGTGACGTGTGAGTTTTTGTTTTGATTGATCGGTTGTTATTAATCACTTTTTTAGAACCACGGGTGACATGATATATACTAATGACGCCATATAGCATTTATAAGTGGATGCCTGTGCTTGTCCGATGATGAACTTTTGCCATCGGCAAAAAATCTCCTCGCGGAAGTACATCAATCTACGGCATCGGCGGTATGAGTGAGTCAAACATTTTATTCAGTGTGAGTACACTCATATTGAGTGATGGGTGTTCAGTGGTATCTAATTAAAAAAAAAAATGTCGTGTTACGCAATATATAACTTGTTACGTTACGATGCATCATCACACATGGGCTTACCAGCTCGTAGTGACACCCGTCGCCCGCCGTGAGCTGACAAGTGCATTCCTGGACTCGAAATCACGTAAATTCACGTTTAAATGTCGTTCGATCATCAGGTATACTTTATATGAGAATTAATAAAATGAAAAACGATGTCCCGTATACCTTATTTGATGTTAGTCTTTGGACGTAACATTTTCACATACTCAATAGTATACTATGTTTAACTGGTGGAAATATTCCCATAGTTTGTTATGTTATGTACATACATACACTTCAGTTTGAGTCCACTAAAATGTATGCACAAAATATGTTACTGCCGATGCCGATGCGCTATGTTCGCCCGAGCAAAAAGTAATAACGCACTTTATACAGACTCAGCCCCAAGCACAGATCAAAAAACATTTGATTATGATCAAATGCAGCGGTGATACATAAAAACTGCCCTGATTGGTTAAATGTGCATTTCAGTAAGAGAACCTATCAATCACAGTCGATGTTATAAAATAATAAGGTGGGTAATCAGTTGGAATGAGTCGAGCGCCAACAAATGTTAAGTCTTAAAATAAACTCTTTCATGAAAGAGAGGCCACTACAGTGAATCTACTGCAATGCAGAGGACTTTGAAATTGGCCACTATGAACTCTGATTCGAAGTAAATAAACAATGGAAGGGATTGCGTGGGTCTCTCACTAAGTAGAGTAGAATCAACACTGAGGTGTCACGCTGAACTTTTTATTAATATAATTTCCAGCATTTCCAGCCTTGTATTTAAGTGCAAATTAAAACGTAGGTTGATATCAATGTCGTTACTGAATATATTCTTATATAACGCGACACAAGGCAAACACGTTGCCGTGTATTAATTAGACTTTAGAAGCAGTTATAGGCAGGTAACTATGAATTGAATACTTGACATTATGTACTGTTAGCGATATGTCCCAGAGCAATTGTATAACAGGGATACAGTGTTAAAAGCAGTGGACACATTTAATGAGATTCTGGTGGTTGCGAGTACGTTGAACCTACGTAATAACGTCTGACTTTTCCATATGAAGTAAGCGGCAGGAATTGTAAAGGCACCCAACCGTAGTAGATAGTATGTATCTTCTACTAAATATGCTGTACTTGTATCGTAAAATAACAGTTGAGTAACGGCTCATAACACGAATAGTTATTGTTTACAAACAAGCGAATACCCATGAGCATTTGCGTTTTAACATGTGTTGTTTTCGTCACTTGGGATTTCCGCGCGTGCGCAGGTGACGACCCTCCCGTTTTAGTATTACCACTACTTCTGTTCGTTCTCGAACTAATATGATACCAAACAAATTGCAAAATTGTACTTGCGCTAAATGGTTTATGCAGTTCAAATACGTTTTTATCTGTAATTGTTTATTCGTATTTGTCTGTATATTATCTTTGGGGCCTTAAGTTAGATTAGCATTTAGCTAATTGGGTTAACCTCGATAAATTAAATCTTAAAATACAAAAATAAATGTGCGTGTTTTTAATAAAGTTGTTCCACGGACATTACAGTCTGAATGCCGTGACGTTTTCATGGCAACTTACTTATTTTTTATTATTTTGTCTAATCTACCGGGGATCATGCAAATTGTACGAAAAATCACAATAACTGGACGAGTAAGGAAGGCGAATATGTTGTAAACTTCTCCGTTTGATTCAAGGTAAAACAAATGATTTACGATGTGGCTAGCTGAGAGACATATTTTACGATTTCTTATTAAAACTATTTTTCCAACCATAAAAAAATACTAATTTACAACCCAATTTATTCACAACGAAAATTCCACCGCATCAAGGGAGCCGAAACACACACAATATTGCACCGGGTGATAGTAGACGTATCACTCATAATTTCTGTCCAATTGCAGAATAATCCAATGACACCTACAATCATAGCTCAAGTTGTGTAGATTGAAGACGGGATATCACCGTATATCGAATGATTCCTCGTGTATTTGCAATACATAACATATAAAAAACGCTTTTGTGATGAGGCAATTTATTGACGCTGATTTAACCACGATAACGTAAACCATAGATATCTAGTGCGTACTAGGTCAAGACAGCGTTGTATTTGAGACCTTGTGACTGGTATTTGTTTGGGGAATAATTCAATAATTCCCTGTAAAACATGATAATTCATACACTATTTCCACTAGTCTTCGAATCCAACTCGATGCCCGCGTTAAATGGTGGTGGTTGTCGTAACGCAGCGCGTGTTTGAATTCCAAGTAAACAGACGATGTGTTTTACACGCGTTGTGTACGTCGCCGTGAATCCCACGTTGAACGTGACGCGGCGCGGCGACCACCGCCCTTTAAACACTATCACATTCAAATACAAATTATTTTAAAATTAACTTTCCCTGAATAAGCCTGTAATAAACGTCACGTTTCACCAAGTCCTTGATATACAGCACAGTATACTGAATATATGAGGAGGGTGGGTCCCTCTAGGCAATCTCTTCTAATTGTTTTTTTACTCGTAATTGCATTTCCAATCAGGCTCGTTATGAACGTATTAAGCAGTGATTTGTGTATATATATTCGTCTCTCCATGGCTACTCATATTGCGTCTATGGTTTTGATGTCAGTTGTACACAGACACACGCTGAGATTGGAAATTTAATGCATCGGCAGTCAGTCTAAAAACTATAATAGTTGAGTCGAAGCATATACAGAAATCAAAATTTGATACGTCGACGAAACCGGTCGACCAACAAGCTTCTCCCTGATTGGTCTCATTGTTAGGTGGTGGATAGCCAATCAGGCACACTCTTTTTTCACATTTTCATCCTCGCTTAGCTGAATTATTGTAATGTAATAGTACAGGTATATACTTGATTACTAGACAGTTACTGACATTACGCCATACCTGGTATGAGGATATAGTAGTTTTTAACGCATCGGTGTCGTATTGGCATCCGCAGCGTCATACTCGCGCGAGTATAGTTTGATTTATAAAACGATACTTTTTAAAATATGATTATTTTACAAGTGGTACTATGGAATGAGATCAACAAGATTTGCGCAACTGATACGCAATTTCCGTACTGGTATTGTGTTTTATCCTACGGCAGTATAACTGACATTGGGTCGTAATGACGCCCCTCGATGCCAGCTACTGCCACTGGCACCAATGCAACCGCCGATGCAACAAATAAGGTAGCATTCTTCAGAGTACTTACTAGGTTTTAATATCACGTCGTTCAGATAAACGCGTCATATAATACATATGGAGATTCTAACATCGTATTTGTTTTCCAATTCACCGCAGATGCAGATGTAGTTCAGATACAGTGGTATTCTGATTTACGGAGCCTCACAAGATGGCGGACTCTGACAGTGATGTTGACTATGTTGATTCGAACGCCAGTTATAACTACTCGTATTCGTACTCATGGTATTCCTACTCCTATCCGGACTACGAATACAAACTTGGACCCGAATCCGTCGTTGTCCCCGCTGTGTGGGGGATATTCTCGTTACTTGGACTGATTGGCAACATTTTCATCGTGATCGTTGTTTTCAAGTATTCTCACATGAGGACAGTTACGAACTATTACATCGTCAACTTAGCATGCACGGACATTGCGGTGCTGCTACTATGCGTACCCTTTACCTCTAGTGTATATGCCTTCCATACTGCATGGGTATTTGGTGACGCAATGTGTAGATTTGTTGCTTGGACACAACTGGTATGTAAAAATATAAACTAAGCGTTTTTTTTTAAATACTTGAAATATTTATTACGAGAAATAAAATATGTAAGGTACCCCATTCAAAAAATGTGCATTCGTATACAGACTTATTCTGTCTTTGGTATTTGTATTGTATGACACGAACTGATTTCCACCGAGACAACGATTGAAAGATTATTGTCAACGACGTTGCAGATACCTGCTCTGACAGGCGACGGAAACAAAATCCCTTTATTTGACACACTCCAATTTCTATTAACTTACCTCTCGACGAAATATCGACATCGCTATAAGTGTGTATGCTAAACCCAAATAACCCCTTCCCGCAGCACGGTGAACAACGGTCAGGTATGATATAATTGACAGTTGACGTACATTGCTAAACCTAGCGGAAATATGAAACATAGAGTGATGAGCTATCATTTTGACAGTTGTTCTCATAAAAGTAATCGTCTATACATTTTTTCTTATGCAAGTGTGAACCGATCGGCAGAAATAACCACCCACCAATGATGTTCTTTGATTGATTTCTCAGAATGGCGGACTGTGTTTTGTAATCAGTGCCGTGTTGATACCATAAAATGATCAGTCGGCTCGTTATAATTCAAAGAAAACTTAATATTTATAAAGCTGCCAATTTGTCCATTATACTTTGTTGTTGATTCTGCACCTTTGATTATCAGAAACTAAACAGTGGAATATTTCAAAAAGAATCCAGCAATATTATGCGATATACATCACCTAAATCTACAAGACTGGCTTCATGCCACGTTCTGTCTTTCTTGACATTTATCGCGTGTGAAGGAAATAAACTGATAATCCTCTGCGTGCAGTAATCACTTCAAAGGAGGATTATCTTGGATCTGGATACGTTGCTATGGAAACCTCCCGCGTTTGTATGCTGATACCCGAATAGTTATAGCATGAGCTCCATGGTTATAATAATGATATTTGTGTCCATACAATACGGTGTTGAAATGCTGCATATTATATATGTAACCGTCATACTTGTGAGATACTGCAAACCATTCTGAAATATCTACATGCCATTTCTGAGAATTTGACACAATGCAGGAATTACTAGTAACAGAATCTCAATCTAGCAAGTGCCAACAATCTTATTGCGAGAAGACACTTTATTTTAAATTAGCTATCTTTTGATTTAGTGGAGTTACGATTTAGCAAAATTAGCTTAAATAACATGTTAGCTAAAAAGGCATGTTTAATAATACTTGTCATAGCGGATGGTGCCCGGGCACGGAATAAAGTTGGCATAATTGTGATAACAACGGCCCAAGAACATGAATTATGTTACGAATAACTATCAATCGATTTTTGTATGATAAATACTGATTTTAGTGAAATGACATACAGTATCGTCGTCAACTGGGTTATAATGTTGTCATGGAAACGACGTGTACTTGAACACGGTTTGTACACGTCGCATGAGACCCATTTCCAAAACTGCGCAGCATTACATTTCTGGCGCTTTAAACGAAAAGCCTGGTCCTATCTGAAACAATCCGAATTATTGAAGTAACCAGACTATTTATTTTTCGATAATATGTTTCTGTATAATACATTAAGTTTAGTGAATTCGCATTGCTTCATTTGTTGAAGACTTCTTCCTCTATATTTCAATAATGGCGCGTAGTCACGGTGATATAGGGTTTTATGAATCACATAATACTATTTTTTTTATCTTGGATTAATCTTAAGATTCGGGTTTTACAAAATAAATTAACAAAGAAATAAAGTTGTATCTTTGTGTTCTGTGGAAACTGTTCTAAAAATAGCAAATTTCGCATAATATTTAGCCTACTCAATGAAATATGTGTTTCTATTATACATCATAAAGTTGACCTATATTGTAAGGCAAATTTTACTAATTTTCCCAAATATTATGTGGAGGCCGAGGCCGCAACTGAATAGCTGCAACATTGGCGTATCCATAGTAACGATTTACTTGATATTTATCTGTTTCTGATTCTCAACAGGCTTCGTGGCAGGCCACGTGTCTGACGTTAACAGTTATAAGTGCAGATCGCTACTATGCCATCGTGTACCCTATCAGATCGATTAAATATAGAACGCCACGGGCGGCAGTCCTCATCAATATATCGATTTGGATATGTAAGTATATTTAATTAGTTTGGGATAGTTATTCATGCCAGGGTAGAATCCTTCAAAGACATCATTTATTGTGGAATTGGATATATACCATGTCGTCGTTTATGTACAGATACTTTGTTAAATTATATTTCATAATTCCAATTTGAGACAACCCCGGCCTAAATAATCGTTCACCCCTTGCAAAATCTTTGTTCACTAATACATTTCACATTATTTTGAGCCGTATCCCAAATCACGTCCGTTATTATTGACTGTCTTATTCCAATAGTATTATGTGTTTCAAATTTCACGGAAGCATTGTTTTCAAATACAATGTAATAAGAAAAAATACAATATAAAAGGAAACACGAGTATTAATGTTGTATATGTTTAGCTTTGTTTAAGTATATTCATTGATATTGTATCTGGATGGAAACAGTAGAGGGCAATTTGTAAAATACAAAAAGTACTGGTAACAGATATAGCAGTTTTCGTTGGGGGAAATAAATAAAAATCTAACGGGCGGGGCTTCAATTTACCTGTATGTATAGGTAGTTTTAATACCACTGTGCCGATGTTTTCTCGTAGAACCAATGCTGCTATGTTTTCTGACGAAAAAAAGTTTCTATTATGCAATAAATAATACACTACTGTGTTTTTTTCAAGATAACAGATCAAGGATCTTTGTTCAAAAAAGCTAATAAACATTCAAATGAAAAGTATCCGATTTGCCTTCACATTAACTAGCTTTGGGTTTGTGTTTGGTACTCATTCAACTTCAATTTACAGTTTGTACTCTCCTTGTTCAAGTTGTTGAAAATAAAGTTAAGCAAGGCTTATATTTGATTTAAATTTTGCATTTTATTGCAAATTTCCACCCAGTTGTCAGGCAACAGAATGATAATATATCAAGATTTGCTATATAACACTGATCCTTGTTTTTTTTTTATAGTTTCCTATACCATAACGACTCCTACGCTGTACCTCTATCGCGTTGAAGTGTACGCCTTCGACAGGGACCATGCATTCTGTATTGAATATTTTGCAAGCGACAGTAAAGCGAATTTCAATACTGTGTACGTTACAGTGTACGCCCTGCTATCGTATTTTTTGCCACTGGTGGTGATATTCGTGTGCTACATGCTCATGATCGTGAGACTATGGAGAACCTCGGGACCGACAGAAGATGCGATCATGTCCGAGCAGGCAGTGCGTCAGAAGAAAAAAATCACACGAATGGTTTTAGTGGTGGTCATTCTTTACGCAGTATGCCATCTTCCGAATCATGTTCTGAACTTACTCTTCCGGTGGAACTACGAGGTATTCGCCGACCCTGATAATAAAATGTTACTGAAAGTAGTAAGGATATTAGCACATACGTTGGTGTATTTTAATTCTATCATCAACCCAATCGTATATAACGTTCTCGGGGACAATTTCAGGAAGTCTCTAAAGAAAGCATTCCTACATAATTTCAGGAAAAACAAAATAATGGATTCACACACGATGAATACTGTCAACGGTAACGGCACACATACTATGAATGTCACGCATTCGAACAAAGTCCATCCATCGAGTTCCAATTCCAGATCAGAGAACTAATTAGAGTGAAATGAAACGTATGACGTGGCGATTCCTGGACTACGTCGATACTGTGTTCCCGCATTATTCAGTCTCAGTCAATGTGATTACCGCCTAATGAGTGTGGCGCATCTTTTCCACTCGCTCACAAGGACACGTCAATAAAAATCGATTCTCACATTTGCACATAAACGCTCGTATTCCAAATGATGTAACACATGCGAACCGTAGCGACAAGTCGTGCACTTTGCAGTCTTTTCTCGCTCACAATCATCGCGCTTCAATGAGGACGCCTTCTTTCTATACGAACCCTATATCGAGATGGATTTCGTCATGTTGTTGAGTCACGCCGGTGCAAGACACCGTATGACGGACACCGCCTGCGAACAATTCTACAATATGCACAGATACATATGTTATTCACTATTTATAAATATGATCAAATATTTGAATGTCACTTGTAAATAAAATATGTATAAATGTGTAGATAATGTAATAAATAGACATGTTTTTTTATAAATCGTTTGGAGATTTAACCAATTACACAGATGGCATCACTGTGCGGACACTATCTCTCGCCACTCAATTCATGCACACTCAATACCGTATATTATAAACAAAAACATGGTTCAAATGAGTGAATACGTGAGTTACGTGAGGAATTTGACAATTATTAATAGCAGAGGGTTATCAATCACAGAGTTGTCGAACTCACTCTGTTGCTGTTGAATAATTTGCAGTGTTTCGCCTGTGAGGGCGCTGAACGGTCATGCTAGAATGGGCTTGGACGGCTGTTTTAAATTTGCCATTAAGAGTTGTAACTAGCTTTGGCATGATATTAGACTTAGCGATACTCGATCTAAATGTGTAACAAATTGGACATTTTATCAGAGTGTCGACTCTTCAACACAGTACTGACAGACTATGTTTTTTTGTAACTGTAGATATTTATACAGGAGTCGGTTACTCGTAATACAAACTAAGAATGTTTGTAATCAGGCATTAGCTAAACGGCCAAACCCAAACGTACAGTAACCGGTGTCTAGACTATCAGTGTCTTAGTCTAGTCGTATGCGCTGTCAGACAACTAACTCTCTATAAGCTGAATCACGTGACCTGATTGAACAATATATTGAAATACCTGTATAGGCTTCAGCTTTGTAATCAATAAATACATGGTTGTACCATGGTTCATCAATGGCAGGTGCTATCGTGAAATATCTACCATTGTACAATACATAAATAGTAATGGTACAATACCAACGCTTACTATTTGACAAGATATGTTTGGTTTTGTGTTGAATCGTTTGTCATGAGAATTATTACGCCTATGTGAAGGAAAGCTTTGACAACTTTGACGGATTATAAATCAGACACGTTTGTGGAACCATACAACACCAAGCATGGTGGGTGTTTGTATTAGGAGTATAACAGATTGGTAATTCGCGACAATTCTTAGGCTCAAAAGTAGCACAAATTATGGACGCTTTAGTGTTACGTACTATTGATATGAGCCACGTCACGGTTTATTTGCGTTCCACATCAAATTTACAGTTTTTCAAATATTTATTGTTATTCAAGTTATAATGACAGTTTTACAGTTAATGTTGTAACCCTCTAAAAGATGTTGCTTCTGGTCTCTAAGACACACTTTCACATTTCCCTTTTCTAACCGTACGTAGCACATTTCATCGGTACGAAAAATTGCACCAAAAAAAAAGAAAAACAAAAAAAATGTATTAGACGCCGGTTTCAAACTGACGCACGCAATGTCGAGAATCTGATCTTTTGAGGTCTTAGATACATCTTTATGAAATAAAAATCAGGTAGTTTATTTTTATAAAATGTGATGTACATCGTTCTGAACCGTCGTGAGCGGCGACGAGTTCAGAAAGAAAGCAAATGAAACGTGATGCGTTAAATCTCGCCTTACATTCGTTAGGGAATTGTGGATAATCAGCATGCGTGTGGCAAAGATTATGAAAAATAGTTATGCCAAGTAATCAATGGAGTACTGAGAAATGATGACCGGTGATATTATTAGTTAACAGTAACAGTATGTTTTTGTTTACCCGGCTCAGAACTAGATAGACAAACTGATAAAGTTTCTAAAACACGATTACCCGGATTGTGCACGTGCACACCCCTTCCGCTTCCCATGCTTGTTTCAAAGTTTATCATTCTGTTTGTGCAGTACGCGACGAGTAGAGATGGTGACATGAACATGGATTTAATCGCCATGCAAGTTATTCAACTTGAACCTTTGAACGCCGTGAATATCAAATGCTCGTTGAAAACAATTAAAGTTATCATTAAAAGACGTCCGAATTGCTACCGATATATAAGTTATTACCGCTGTACTTTCAATCTACTGCAGTTTGAACAGAAATAATTGAACTCAAACGCGACTCCAACCTTTGTTACGTGTGCACATTATTGCCGCCATTAATCACAATGTTTTCATTTAATATCTATTCATAATGTTTTTGCAAGTATGGTTTATCAAATTTTTGTTTAATGTACGTTGTTGGATCACTGGTGTCATTACGCCTTTATTATGTTGCGCCCTCTAGCGACAAAGCGCTTTGGTGGAGTAATTTGGTGTCACAGTGGCTATTTAAAGCGTTGGTCGATGCAGATTATGGTTTTGAAAGATGTGGATGTATTTTAGACGATGAACGTCTGCATAACAAAACACAGATGTCGATTGAACGACATTGCTTTCATCCGCATGTGTCTCATTTTTACGTCGCGAAACGTCCCATCGCTAAAAGAGCGCGATTATTAGGAAAAATGCAATTTATACAATTAATAATCCAGCCAATAAGAGGTTGATTTGAGACATGGGGTCGATAAATGCATATTATCGCGCTACCAGCACCCCCATCGTTGCTTCATTATGATACGGTGAAACAGTTAGCGTGTAGTACACAGTGACTTGTTCGCGATAGCTCGCCATTGTCCGAGTGACTATTATCATCGAAAATTTGTCGATGATCGTACACGCGTCGTGTTTGTATGTATATACACTGGCGTGGCTCACATGGGTGGTAAGCATTCACTGCTTGAATGGACGTTGTGTAGGTGTTATTAATTAAGTCGTGGTAATTCCACTCGCGAACTAACGACAACGCAATGTGCGTGAATCATTATTGCGACATAGACACAGTTTTACCAAAGACAATAAATGAGAAATAAGACATATAATTACAGCGATATTCTCATTAGGCAATACATGGCTTTTTACTGACTGAGATTGGTATTACGACCTGATATTCGGGTGATGTCCGCCGGAGGAGGGTAGTAACTCGG